ATTTCAGAGAACTGGTTTATCATTAGCTGATCTACATTCTCTTCATTAGTGAAAGTAAAGATTCACCTGCGCAATTCATGGCACATTTACAATAGAAATGTGTAGAAAAAAATGCTTGACAGTTTATGACAACTAGATCAACCATTTTGCATTTAATGACTTATAAGATGACCTAATGCCTAGAGGTTTTGGGGTGTAAGACTGTTGCACAGAGATCTATATAGTACATTTTGAGCAACATGACATTAGTAACTGATAATGTAGGAAACCGCAGACAAATGTACATAATTGCATGAATGTACCAAAGCAATAGCAACTTGTTCAAAAGAATGAGAAACTCCTTTTTTTGATGTGCACAAGTGGCTAGATGATGTGGAGGTTGAACAAGTAGTTTTGAGAATTTCATTTCTGATCTGAGAAATGCACCAAAGCAACTGAGAAAAACTGTAATCAATATCCCACATACAGTAATGTGTAAATTTGTTCTTTTGAAATGGATATATGGCATACATAAGAAGTGCAGCCTTCTGCATTTGAATGCAGTAACTGTCATCCAAACTGTTGCCATAGTTTACATCATGTAATACTAACAGAGTGCACTGTTATATTGACATTATATTGATAGCATTTTGACTATCTTGTTTGTGAACAATGACACAAGGACTTTTCATTCTGATGGCACTGATATGTTCATTGACATAAATACTTTTGAGAGATGAACTAAAGATTTTGAGTTAGTTACATGCTTTTGCAGGTAATACATTGTGTGGTGCAGTTTGTATGAATTGTTTTGAGAAATGCACTACTTCTTTGTAAATATTAAGGATGATTCGAGAAACGCACCAACGCGACTGAGAAAATCTGTAATACACAGCTTAATCACACAGATTACATTTAAAAACATATTAGACGCAGTGGAATGGAATAAAACCCCCACAAATTCTTGAGACATGTTTCCTAAAAGTTGAACCTCTTTTAACTTTACATGGCTTTCAATACATGTCTTGTGCGTCACTGATAAGGCTCCCTGAGGCACACCTAAAATTTGAATGCACCGTTTTTGCATTCGAATGTGAATTCTTATTTTAAATTCGACTAATTTTCCTTTTTTTATTTGCAATCTCCTCATTGCAGACAGGCACAGCACTCATTGCAGCATGTGCAGAACATGATTTTGCTTTGAAGAACCCACGACGTGGCTGGCAGTGGAATTTGGAAAAAAAACGCAAGGTCTCTTATTCAGCTTTTAAAGTTATTTTGACTTGAGCGGCACGTTTTTAGAACGCCGCGTCATGCTCGAGACACTGCAAAAGACGCGAGGCGTGAGCGCAAAGGTGGTGCAGTGGAGTGGAAAAACGCGTGAAAAACTCAACGTGGCTTAATGTTATAAAACAGCAACCAGGGGAAATCAATTTTCTCTCACATTTAACTTGTCATAAACACTATACTGCTAAGACAACCGCACCGTAATCGAAGTGGATATTTTTACGCTTAACGTGGCTTATGCATTAAGACAGTGATACTAAAAGATCAAACTGCAGAAGAGCTCAATAGCTACATCTTGATGATGCAAACCATGTTCTTGTGCCCTGGTTCGCTGCTGCGCTTCTCTGACAACGACCTGTTTCATATTGCAAACACTTTAGAGGTTCAGTACACTGACGACTTGTCACCAGACTTTGACATGCAATTGCTATCGTTAGTTCTCAAAATTGAAAGTGATCAAGGCATTTCTTTCACAAAAACTTCGCGGACATCCAGGAATTTTTTGCAGTGTCGTGCCGGGGGCGTGATGATCAAGAAGTCTCCCACAGAAGCCTCTGACCTGGCCGCATGGTCCAGGAAGCATAAAGCCGGAACAAGGGCTATCATACCGGCTGGACACAATATCGACGAGGGAGGTAACACTGCCAGTCGAGCACCTGGTTTCTGAATCCAGCAAAATATTTATACTATAATCGCACCGGTAGTGACATCATGGGCTGTCGCCGGCCAACGTGTTGTTGGTGTTTTTCAATGTATGCTTCAGACACGGGTCACGACGAGGCGTTCCCCCATAGCGACCCCTAGAGGACGCAGTTCGAAGTTCCCTTGAAAGGGAAAGACTGTAGAGCTCAGCTCTTCTGAGTATTGAGAATTCTCGTGCTTGCAACATCGATAAAAGCTGCAGTGAAAGACTTTGCACACCAAAACGCTCAGAGAGCGCAAAGGATTCTGTAGAGTTTTTGTTTGTTTGTTTGTGGTAGACAGTTGATAAAACGAATAACTAAGTTAATTGTCAAAAGTTGGTAAGTTAAGATGTATAGAAAGTTCATTTTTTCTCAAAATGTAGCATATATCCTAAAGTATAGATTTATTCCCTTAATGTATTTTCTCCTAATTCTTTTACTGTTCATTCTCTTACTGCAAGGCATGAATTTTGCTTGTACAATTTATTTTCTACAATTAGTTATGATTATGTAGGCCAGTGTTTGAAATGAGACGTGTGCTGGCCATTAGCCTCTTACTGTTAAATAGAATATGTAGACTGGGAGCCTAGAACAGACGTTTGTGTATTATTATTGTTGAAGGATCCTCTTGTTATTGCTAAAATAACGATCAAATCAGAGCAACGGCACTTTTGCCTCCACATTCATATACTAAATATTTACTCCTGCAGAGATTTCAGTCTTTTACTAAAAACAATATTGAAATCACTATGCACATTAAATAGCCTATATAATGTTATTCAGAATCAGAAATCAGAAAGAGCTTTAATGCCAGGTATGTTTGCATGTAATTTGTTCTGGTGACAGAAGCTTCCAGTACACAGAAACAACAACAACAGCACACAGATAATAAAAAATAAAGATATGTGAATAAAACACACACACATACATATATATATATATATATATATATATATAAACAGAAAAAAGGCAAAAAATGTTATGCATAGTTGTCATATATAAATGGAATGGAATACAATTGACAAGGAATGGAATAAGATGTAGGGTAGTATTAAGTAAATAAAAAGTGGTATTGCACATCTTTTTATTAAACAGTAGGGGAGAGCATTTAAATGTTCATGAGGTAGTTTGCCTGGGGAAGGAAACATTTCTTGTCTGGCAGTCCTGGTGTTCAGTGCTCTGTAGCGCCGGCCAGACGGTAAAAGTTCAAAAAGGAGATGGCTTGGATGTGAGGGATCCAGAGTGATTTTTTGAGCCCTTTTCCTCACTCTGGATATATACAGTTCATGGAGGGTGGGCAGGGGAGGTTTACTTGTCCCCCTCAATGTCTATGGTGGTTATGGTCCAGAGAACATTAGAACAGCCTTCTGTCTGTGCCATCTCTATTTACTTGCTCGTTTTCATCACTTTTGCTTTAATTCTCATGCACTGACTCTGAATATCCAATCACAGTTCCCATGACACCGGTTTAACATGCCGAATTGGGCAAACTGCCACCAACGTGTGGAACACACCACAAAAACTAGCCTGACAGACGCTCGCCGATGGCCAACATTGGTCAACGGCCAACCGTCAGTTTGGTAAGTCCCAGCCTTAAACCTAATCCTAAAATCTGATTAGTTGATGGGAATGTTGTTCCAAGACCAACAAGGATGTTAAACCACACATCCCATTTGGAAAAATCAAGGTAAGCATCAAGTTGTGGACTCCATGATATGTTAAGGTGTGTTGTAGAGCTGTTCAAAGTGTTGACCAATGCCACCATCTGTTCAAGGTAATCTCAGGTCATTTCATATGAACATCTGCTAAAACAGGATTAACAGTGTAACTTGGATTTGCATAGAACATTTTTGCAGTACCATACTTACATTTCTTTTAGAGTGAGAATGTCCAATATTTAAGTGGTGATATGGATCGTTCATTGTGTATGATGAAACTACCTTGTTATTGATGACAATGCCATTTTTTCTCCCGATTTCCGAACAGCCTGTCCTGTTATTTCAGATGACATAAAAAGAGTCTCCCTTGGGAAACTAAGTGGTTAATGCATACATTCCTGATACACTGAGCTGTAGTGCTAATCGAGGTTGGGCAAAGTTTTGAATGGATTGAATTGGCTATGGACATAGGATGAGAGGAAGAGGAATTTACTGACTTCAATAAAATTCAACACAGTCCCACAACAGATGATTTAGATTAGTCCAATGCCATTTTTGTGGCTAAGCTATTACTATACTTAAGCACTATATAGTGTCATTCCATTTCACATGAATTCTACATCATTGGAATGTCAAAATCTGCTAAATTAAATTCAAATTAATTGTTAGGTTAGTTCCTGAACCCATTTTCTCTCCCTTGTAGTCTCCTGTCAATCGTTTGTTGTCATGAGGCATGTGGGAATGATTATGGCATTAAAATGGACCAGAAAAAGGGGGTAATTTTGAGAATTTGTTTCCTACTCACCAGTCTGTCCAGGCTAAGCCTCTTTTCTAGCTGGAGTATTAGCTTTGACGATGAACAATAGTGTCCAATCCCTGTGTTGCAACCTCCTCCCATGGTAAATTTATTTTGAGTCACTGTCCGTCATTCAAAGTCCTCTGCTAGAATGACAGATAATAGTTCAGCTGTCGTGACTATTATTTTCCAAAAGCCAGACATATATTCAGACAGTATCAGCACAAATGTATCAGCCTGGTATTCCAGGCAGGGTCTTACCCAACCAAGTCTATTCTAGTCTCTAAATATGGTTTGAGTCGATATTTCAATGTTAGTCGATGGGATTTACCAGGTCAAAGTCCTGATAGCATCTGGAGCACAAATGGTGCATGACAAGTTGCACACCAAAGTTTAATACGAATGGTTTGGGGTTGAAAACTATTGCAACAGAAACGTGATGCGCTGCCATTCTGATGACAGAAACATTAACATCATTAATGAATGAGTGAATGTGCACACCAGCGGCTGGGCATTTGACTAATCTCTGCTAATCCTGACCTGATGAAACCAGATTGAGCAGAAATATTGGCAAAAGAGTGGGATTACTGAGCATGGAGTCTGGGCAAACATGTGACAAACCAAACACACAAATAATCACATATGCACACACAACCTTGCACACACTGTGGTATTGTTTCACATTTTTTCTATACTTGCAAAATAGCTCTAAAACACAGACACAAGGCTGTTAAAGAGGTCACGTCCAGTGTGTGTCAAAATGGGACGGTACATGCAGAGATAAGGAGAGGTCTATCTCAGTGTGTGTGCTTATGGGACAGCTAGACTGAGTCAGATTACTCTACTGGTAAACATCCGCTGTCAGCTGTCCCGACTAAAACACGACATATGACGCACAAGTCTCATATCAGAGTTTTCTCCATGTCCTGAAAATCTCTCCCTCTGTGCATTTCATCAAACAAGAACATCAGCCTATTCCATATACTGTATGTAGATTTCAGGCAACAGTTCGTCAAAACTAAATAAAAGCTTTAAAGTGCACAAAAACGTGCAGGTATGGCAGAACAGTGCTGGGCTTTAACTTGCTGTTTACTCTATAATCATTTGCAATATAGGATTCGGAGTGTCTATTTGCACTAAGTGCAAAAAACCCATCTTGTTGGCAAAGGCTGTTTGCACTACCATTGACTGGTTGAGCCAGACAAAATGAAGAAAGAAGCCTGAAAGTGTGAATCTCTCTTTTCCCACTGTATCAGCTCTAACATAATGCATTTACCAAATTTGACATTTCTGTTTAATTCTGTTCTTTGTTATGGATCATAAGAGTGTAAATTTGGCACACAAACAAGGCTGTCTAAATGAGGACATATCATTAGACTTGTGTTGATTTTGAATCAAGCTAATAATATTGACTACACAAAAACCCATAAAGCTTTTTTTTTTTTTTTTTGCATTTCAGAATGTCATTTTTGGAGCATTTTGAAGACTGCTTTCATTGATTGAAAAGAGCAATGCTAACGTCCTGCCAAACATCCCCTTTTGTGTTCGAAAGAAGGTCTTACAGGTTTGACATGAGGGTAAGTAAATGATGACTGAATTTTTCATTTTTGAGTGAACTATAATGAACTGAAGCTTTAATGATGTTCAGTTTATAAAAAATGGAAAATAAAAATAATGATTGCAATTTAATAATTCATTAATGAAAATATAAAGTAACCTAAAATAGTGGAGTGAACAGTAACCCAGAAATCACTGTAGAGCAGGGGTGTCAAACTCAATTCCTGGAGGGCCGGAGCCCTGCAGAGTTTTGTTCCAACCCTGCTCCAGCACACGTACCATGTAGTTTTTAAATAAACCTGAAGGACATGATTAGTTGGATCAGGTGTGTTTAATTAGGGTTGAATCTAAACTCTGCAGGGCACCGGCCCTCCAGGAATTGAGTTTGACACCCCTGCTGTAGAGTCACAGTTCTGTTCTGTTCACAGTTCAATGTGTAGAGTCACAGTTCTGTTATGCAACAGAAACACCGTCAACATGTGCCAGAAGTGCTTGAGCAACCTGTTTGGAAACAATAATTTTTTCAATTTCAATTTGGTGCTACTAATGGTGCAGAAATTACACTTCAACCTTTTATTATCCCAGGGTTATTGAGTTTCAAGCACACAATTTTAGAACATATTTTGACCTGAATATGACCACACTCTTTGAGAATTTCTTTAAAAATGTCGTTTCTCTGCAAGAATACACAGCTTAATGGCTCTCGCTTTATGGTTTGAAGGCTCTGGCCTTGTGAACCATTCTAGTAGATAAATATATACTGTGAGAATGATAAAGGACATGTTTACTGTGACATCTATGGCTGCCAGTCAGTAGGTTTTCAAGCCATTTATTTAAAAAATATATATGTATTTCATATGTATTTTTTCATATTCCCCAATAATCATCTGCAAGGGCTCCGCAGCGGTACTGCAGGGGGTTCTGGTTCTGGTGGAGCCGTTACTTACACATTACATATGCACTTTATTAGAAATTCCTCTACTAATTTCAGATACTCAGTGATTTGATTCATAATTGTCCATCACACAGTAAAATTAAAATGTCAAGTTTGAATAAACTTAATGCTAAAGTTCAAGTAAATATTTATTTGTCCATCTGACTAGTAAAATTAAAATGTATGACTCTGCAAATCCATTAAACTAATTTACAACTTCAAACAACTAATGAATTGTGATTTTTTTTTTATCTCAACATGTTGTTTATGATGCATACATCTCATTTTTAACAATAAAAATATACAGGCAGTGATGCATGTGCAACAACAACACCGTGCATACGTCTGATCTACTGTCTTAACATAATCTATACATATAACATAAAATCATTTACAATAATTTACGAGTTTACATCTCACAATTCTGACTTTTTTCTCCGAATTGCAAGATATAAGCTCACAGTTGTGAGGTACAAAGTCAGAATTGCAGGATATAAACTTGCAATTGCGAGAAACAAGTCAGAATTGTGAGATAAGAAGTCGCAATGACCTTTTTTAATTTTTTTATTCAGTGGTGGAAATAGGCTTCCATAGTTAAACACCTGCAGAAGACAGCACAGAGTTGTATCATCTTTGTATTCTGTCAAAAAAAATTACACAAAATAAAGATGTCTTATTGACAAAAGAATGTCAAATTATGTCTGACACTTGAAATGTACACTCTATCTGGTGTTGAATCATGACCATTTTTGAAGATGCAGTTGGGAGAGCAGTGCTGTTTATTTTGGCCACTAATGGACCTTTAGCCGTCACTTTGGTACTATCATCATGAGTAATGAGAGGCTAGGTCATATATGTCTTCCCTCACAGCGGTTCAATGAAGGGTTTTAATGAAGCATCTGACAGACACGCAGATTTCCTCCAGCTCGTGCTCCATTAAAAGCTCTTTATTTGTTCGCTCTGTGTAGCAAATGACCCAGCAATGAGAGTCATTGATGAGTAAGACAGCTGGAGAGCCATGCTTAGCCTTCGGTGCTTCAGATTAATTGTGAATGAGGACCGGAGATGTGTGTGGTGTGTTGAGATTATGTCATTTAACACTCCTGTGATTCTCTGATATCATTTTTTTTTTTTTTAAATCACTGACTGTGCAGATGGTCCACATTACTTTTCATACTATATATTATTTTAGTTTGGCATTTTGTTTCTTTTTTTATTGATATACACTACTGTTAAAGTTTATGGTTGGTACAATTTTTAAATGTTTTTAAGAGACGCTGTGAAATTTTATTTATTTTTACTTCTGAAAGATGAGGCTGCAAAGAATCAGTGGTTCTCTAATCTCGGGGAATTCAACACGGGATTCACAAAACTTGAGCTTGCTCTTGAAAGATGGCTCAGTACCCAATTTATTTGGACCAGCTTTCTATACAGAATCACAGCCTGCAAGTATGATAAATAATAGACTTTTACGGAACTATGGCAATGGGTGTATCGTTTCCGACACGTGCTGTACGCGATAGACCAGTCACAACAGACTGGGCCATCTGACCAATCAGAGCAGAGTAGACTCACAGAAAGGAGGAGTTTAGAGAGACTGAATCTTAGAACTGCTTCAAACGAATCGTTTGAGAATCATTGGAAAATGAGGTGATTAAATTAAATGCATATTTTGGGAAAACGAAAGCGTTTTTTGACCTTGCATGCATGTAAAACTTTGTAGGAGACATCCAAAACTATTCAGAAAATATTAGGAACCTTAAAAATGGCATAATAGGGGCACTTTAACTTAACCATTTTGTATTTGAATACACGTTAAAATGTAATTTATTCCTGTGATGCAAAGCTGAATTTTCAGCATCATTACTCCAGTTTTCAGTGTCACATGATCCTTCAGAAATCCTTTTAATATGCTGATTTGGTGCTCAAGAAACATCATGATTAATTTTCTGCCAGGATTCTTTGATAAATATACAGTTACAAAAATATACAATCTTTTGTCAAGTCAAGTCAAGTCACCTTTATTTATATAGCGCTTTTAACAATACAGATTGTGTCAAAGCAACTGAACAGCATTAATTAGGAAAATAGTGTCAATAATGCAAAATGACAATAGTAAACACAAATTTTTCAGTTAAAGACAGTTCATCATTGAATTCAGTGATGTCAACATCCAGCTCAGTTTAAATAGTATCTTTGCAATCAAGTCAACGGTATCGCTGGAAATGAAGTGTCCCCAACTAAGCAAGCCAGAGGCGACAGCGGCAAGGAACCAAAACTCCATCGGTGACAGAATGGAGAAAAAACCTTGGGAGAAACCAGGCTCAGTCGGGGGGCCAGTTCTCCTCTGACCAGACGAACCAGCAGTACGGAAAAATCAATTTAAGACGTAATAAAACAGACGATGAACACTATTAACAGCAATTATTATATGATGCAATCAAACTTATAGCAAAATGTGGTAGTTCTGTATGTTGTTTCAGGGTTGGCATCATCTGAGGTCCTCTGAGGGGTTGGCATCATCTCTTCTCAGGTGTTCTGGATCCAGACTGAAGCTTGTGTAAATCCTAGTTACCACGGGATGTCAATCCCGTGGCAAAAAACACCTTGCTGAATAAAAGTATTAATTAAAAAAAAAATCTTAATGACCCCAAATTTTCAAAACATTAGTATATAAATTTTTAATGTCCATGTTTTTGGTTCATATGTGCATCGTGTCCAGGGCTATATTCTAAATATCTCTTAACATATCTACATTTCTTCTGCAGATT